CAGCAGTTCCATACCCACACACTCACCTGACCCAGATACGCTCGCCTCCAACTATGACTCACAGCAGTTCAGCACACACCTGACAGATCATCGCCTCCCAACTATGACTCACAGCAGTTCCTTTTGCCTTCGTTGTCGCCTCTAACTATGACTCACAGCAATTGCTTACACACCTGACAGATACATCGCCTCCCAGCTGACTCACAGCAGTTCCAGCACACACACCGACAGATCATCGCCTCCCAACTACTGGCTCACAGCAGTTCAACACACACACCCCAGCAGATACATCGCCTCCAAACACTGTTCCCTGCAGCAGTTCACTTACACACACTACAGCCAGATACATGCCTCCCCAACTGACTCACAGCAGTTCAACACACACCTGACAGATACATCGCCTCCAACTATGACTCACAGCAGTTCCAACACACCCGACAGATACATCGCCTCCCCAGCTATGACTCACGTGGTTTCTGCTTGCACCTGACAGATCTGTCGCCTCCCAACTATGACTCACAGCAGTTCAACACACACCCGACAGTATCGCCTCCCAACTGCTGTTCACAGCGGTTCAACACACACACACACACCCCAGGCAGATGCACTCACGCCTCCCAGCTCACAGCAGTTCAACACACACACCCGACAGATGCATCTCCCCAACTACTGACTCACAGCAGTTCAACACACACACCTGACAGATACATCGCCTCCCAACTTCTGACTCCACATGGTTTCTTTTACACACCTGAGCAGATACATCTCTCTCCCAGCTATGACTCCATGATTCCTTTACACACACCCGACAGATACATCGCCTCCCAGCACTATGACTCACAGCAGTTCAACACACACACACCCCAGCAGACCCATCACTTGCTCAACTATGACTCAGCAGATTCAACACACACGGCATTATATCTTTCAACAACAGTTCAACACCCGACAGATACGTACATATCCCAACCTGACTCACAGCAGTTCTTTACACACACGACAGATCCATCTTTCCTTTGTTCACAGCAGTTCAACACACACCTGACAGATACATCGCCTCCCCACTTTTATGACTCACAGCAGTTCAACACACACCTGACGGATACATCGCCTCCCAACTACCATTTCCACAGCAGTTCGCTTACACACACACCCTGACAGATCCATCGCCTCCCCAGCTACTTATTTCACAGCAGTTCCAACACACACAACACCTGACCATCATCTCACAGAATGATGTAGCCAATCTGTTGTTACCCCGCGACAAAATCCTCAACTCTCTTTCCTTTCTTATTCAACTCAAACGTTTGAAGGGGCGCTACGGCCTCCAACACCTGACGCGTTAAACTTCCTGGCAGCGTAATGGAAAGGTAGGCATACAGATAGGCAGAGTAGACAAGCAATTGGGAAGGAAGACTAATGTTCAAGTTTAGATTTAAAAGCATTGATGAATTATAGAGAGTGCATCTATATCTATCTATCTATTTAGCTATCTTATCTATTCCTTCTCCTCCACCTCCTCTCTCTCTCTTTCTCTCTTCCTCTCCCACTTCCACCTCTTCCTCCTCCCCCTGGCCCCGTAAGCTAGGTAGAGTCTTAGCGTAGTAAGTAACAGTGCTCATCTAGGCCTACCTGTAATACCTCCTCCTTCACTAGTGTTCACGTAAGGTTAATTATCATGGCTTCAACAACAACAAATATGAAGTTAATATTCAGATATGTTTTGTCACTAATAATAATAATAATAATAATAATAATAATAATAATAATAATAATAATAATAATAATCCATTAATTAGACTACAACCGCCCAGGCGTTCGAGTGTAACAGTATGATGATATAATCTCATTCATTCAGAAATATTAGTGCAGGTACATAATTAGACAGGTACAACTACAGGTCAGAAACATTAGTGAAGGTACATAATTAGACAGGTACAACTACAGGTCAGAAACATGAAGTTAGGTACAACTAGGTCAGAAATATTAGTAGGTACATAATAGACAGGTACAACTACAGGTCAGAAACATTAGTGAAGGTACATAATTAGACAGGTACAACTACAGGTCAGAAACATTAGTGCAGGTACATAATTAGACAGGTACAACTACAGGTCAGAAACATTAGTGCAGGTACATAATTAGACAGGTACAACTACAGGTCAGAAACATTAGTGCAGGTACATAATTAGACAGGTACAACTACAGGTACTAGAACAGGTACACAGATTATAATTGAATGACGGTATATAGTTTTAAGGCAGGGTTACTGTAACATCCACACACACTACCACACCATCCCACACACTGCCACAACCATCCACACACACCACCACACCATCCACACACACCACCACCACCATCCACACACACACACCACCCCATCCACACACACCACCACAACCATCCACACACACTACCACTACCATCCACACACCACCACCACCATCCACACACCACCACCACCATCCACACACACACCACACCACCATCCACACACACCACCACCACCATCCACACACACCACCACCACCATCCACACACACCACCACCATCCACACACACCACCACCACCATCCACACACACCACCACCACCATCCACACACACCACCACCATCCACACACACTACCACAACCATCCACACACACCACCAACAACCACACACACCACCACCATCCACACACACCACCACCACACCATCCACACCACCACCACTACCATCCACACACACACCACTCACCATCCACACACCACCATCCACACACACTACCACAACCATCCACACACAACCATCCACACACACTACCACACAACCACCATCCACACACCACCACAACCATCCACACCATCCACAGACTATCTCCACCTCCCTTACCAATCCTCAAGGCCACCAGGTACTGTCGGGTGCAGTTTTAGGGATAGGGAAGGAGGAAAGGGAAAAGTAGGGGGAAGGGTAGAAGGGTGGGAAGGGTGGGCAGGGGAAGGGAAGGGAAGAGGACAATAGGGGAAGAGGACAAAGGTAGGGGAAGAGGACAAAGGAAGGAGAAGGAAAAGAGGACAAAGGAAGGGGAAGAGGACAAAGGTAGGGGATAAGGAAGGAAGGGAGGGAATAAGTAGGATCAAGGGAAGGAAGGAAGAAAGGTAAGGAGGACAAGGAAGAAAGAGGGTAGGAAGGATAGATAGGTGTAGTGGACAACGGGTCCTATCCACTCCCTCACAAAATCCTTCACCACTGGAGAGAGAGAGAGAGAGAGAGAGAGAGAGAGAGAGAGAGAGAGAGAGAGAGAGATCTTAACAAAAATAGTTTGGAAGTATTGATATGAATGGGAGGGAAGGGGAAGGAGGAGGAAGGTAGGGGCTAGGGGGAGGAGGGCAAGGGTAAGGGCTAGTAGAGGAAGGGCTAGGGTAAGGGCTAGCAAAGGGGGTAAGGGTGGGACGGCTAGGGTAAGGGCTAGGATAGGGGCTAGGGGGAGGGAGGGAGGGGGGCAGGAATGTGGTCCAGCCCCCGGGCAAGACACACACAGGTACACGCTCGTCCAGACAAATGTGTGATGGATATAGTCACTTTCTGACCCTTGGGCAGGTGTGGGTGTTAAGGGGAGGCATCTATCACTCTGTCTGTCTGTCTGTCTCTGTTTTGCTATCTATCTATCTTTTATACTGTATATATATGTATGTATCTATTTATCTATCTGTCTTTTATATGTATGTATGTATGTATGTATGTATAAATGTATGTAAAGGTTTTAAAAGAAGACATACAGTAAAGGATCATTATGTCAGTTTTACAACCTGAGTACTGGACAGGTGACGCTGGTATGTGGTCACACACACACACACACACACACACACACACACACACACACACACACACACGAGTTTCTAGGTGTCGTACTAGAGTCTAAAAAAAAACTTATCCTGCGACACCTTGAGAATTGAGTTTGAATCTGCAGAAAATAGTATTTATAGTAAAATGGCGTCATAATTGGTCTAAGACTGTAGTGTAGTGAATCCGTTATTGATAATCGATTTATTTATTGGAGAGAGAGAGAGAGAGAGAGAGAGAGTTATTTGTCCACAATTGAATTGGGAATTCAACTAAAAATAAGGTTACCTTTTTACGAAATATAATATTATAGTAACTTAAATAAATGATCATACTACTACTACTACTACTAATAATAATAATAATAATAATAATAATATAATAATAATAACAATAATATAATAATAATAATAATAATAATAATAATAATAATAATAACAATTATAATAATAATAACAATGATAATAATAATAATAATGATAATAATAATGATAAAAATAATAATAATATTATTAATAATAATGATAAAAATAATAATAATATTATTAATAATGCCATAAAATCCCATTAAAGAACCGCACATTAACACTAAGAACATAAGAAAGTAAGAATGGAGGAAACTGCAGCGGGCCTATTGGCCCATACTGGGCAGTCCCGTTTACACCCGACCCCTATCGCTCATATATCCATCCAACCTATGTTTGAAGCTATCCAGCGTATCCGAGTTAATGATAATGTTTGGTAACTTGTTCCACTCATCCACTACTCTATTTCTAAACCAATGTTTATCTTTCTTGCGCCTAAATCTAAATTTGTCTAAGTTAAATCCAATGCTACAAGTTCGCTCCTGGTTGGATAGTTTGAGTACTTCAATTAATACACCTCGGTCATATCGCCCCTCACTCTACGTCTCTCGGGGGAGTGCAAATGAAGAAGTTTTTAACCTAGCAAGTCTACGGACTTGGCGCACCCACATTCTCTGTGCTCAAGGATCCTCTGAATTCTTTCTAGGGATTCTTGTGAGGCCTCAGAAGCGCAAGATAAAGTTTTAGGATAACCTCGCTAGTCTTGTAACTAATATTCCTTTACATGAACCCAAGTAACTACCGGAAGTACAGTATGTTTGCATTAGTAACTGGTCTGCGTCTAAAATACTTTCCATTTCTTTTCAGGTTTTTTAATTGGCTGCTGAGAGAGTCTTTACCACTGGTCAGAACTGTCCACACAAACGGTAAGCGGTTCAGTGTTTTAGATAGACAGATCGATAGATAAGTGAGGAATGCCATCTGTTGCTAGGCGGTGGAACTAACATGGCTAAAATTCCGTAGTTGTAATCTAAGTCATATTTATGTTCCCTCTCCCTCAGCTTCACTGGTAGGCCTTGGGACACCTAGGAGAGAGAGAGAGAGAGAGAGAGAGAGAGAGAGAGAGAGATCCCATTTAATGAATATTCGTAACAGTAATGCTTTCTCTTATCCCCAGTTAGTTAATATTAAATGTAAGGAATGTTTTAGAATCCGGATCCTGAATCAACTTTATCAAGAACGTAAACACTCTACCCCGAGAATGACAATAAGGTATGAAACATGATTGACAAATTATAAATAAAGCCTATCTGGTTGAAAATGACAAGACACCAATACATATATAGTTTTTCTGCCTTATTCTGTTTGTGGTCGGTGAGGGTATTTCGCGCCGCTGGGATGACCTTACACGGGTGGGTGACCTCTCCCTGGGTTTTGGGTTGCTGGAGACGTTTGATCGCGTTTCAGGTGAACCGCCTTAAATAACTAACGTGAGAAAATGTTAACTTTGGTGTAATTGTCTTCTTCCGAGATTGTTTGAGGAATTTTAAGTTGGAGAAAGTTTGTTTTGAATAGATTATATTTTTTTTTTCATTTCTATTTAATGTAAATATAATTATCTAATCCTGTATTAGTTAATGATAATTTTTGTGTGTATGTGTGGTACAAAATATATCTCAAATGATTCGTTTTATAAAGCCTGTTGCATGCATCTTCCCTACTTGAGGATACATTGTAATTTATATAAGACGGGCAGCATTTCTTCTGTTTCTCGTCTTTAGTCATCGCTAAAATAGCCAGAGAGCTACAACGGGGTCAACAATATTTGTATCCTAGTTACCACGGTAACAAATATCCTAACTACCACAGGGTCAACAAAATATCCTAGCTACCACGGGGTCAACAAAATATCCTAGCTACCACGGTGTCAACAAAATATCCTAGCTACCACGGGTCAACAAAATATCCTAGCTACCACGGTAACAAAATATCCTAGCTACCACAGGGTCAACAAAATATCCTAGCTACCACAGGGTCAACAAAATATCCGCTCACGGTCAACAAAATATCCTAGCTACCACGGTGTCAACAAAATATCCTAGCTACCACAGGGTCAACAAAATATCCTAGCTACCACGGGGTCAACAAAATATCCTAGCTACCACGGTGTCAACAAAATATCCTAGCTACCACGGTGTCAACAAAATATCCTAGCTACCACGGTGTCAACAAAATATCCTAGCTACCACAGGGTCAACAAAATATCCTAGCTACCACGGTGTCAACAAAATATCCTAGCTACCACGGGGTCAACGACATTTGAGGTATTAGCGGACTGGAGGGATGTAGATAGAGAAGAAATGTGAGAAGGTTGGCATGCCCTCCGCCCGCCAAAAGGTGTGTAAATAGAGACCCAGAATGTTGTTGTCTACCTCTGACCTTGGGGGACGCCGCGGCCTTGCATAACCCACAATTTGCCGCCTTCCGCCATCAAAGGTGGTATTTATTTCCAAGGATTTACCCCCTGAGGCTTTAGGAAGTAAGAAGCGTTACCCCATTTGGAGGAAGGTCTTTCAACCCTTTTAGTAAGACAATGACTCTTTGACTTTAAAGGACGGTGGTTTAACTTTTTGAGGGATGATGGTTTAATACTTTTGGGGATAGTGGTTTAACTTTTTGTAGGACGATGGATTAATATTTTGAAGGATGATGGCTTAATATTTTGAAGGATGATGGTTTAACATTTTGAAGGATGATAGTTTAACATTTTGAAGGATGATGGCTTAACATTTTGAAGGATGATGGCTTAAAATTTTGAAGTATGATGGTTTAATTCTTTAAAGATAAAGGTTTAACCCTTTAATGATGATGATGATAATGGTTTAAACCTTTAATGATGATGGTTTGACCCTTTGAGAATTAGAACTTTTGGACTCTATGGGCTAAGACACTGAGCATGACCAAAGTGTTAATGACATACAGATGAGTACAGACTCCCACCGTTTCCTTTACTTGTGGTACTGTCCTTACTGGCAACTGACGGTGTTATCCCTTTCATTAACGTCACGTCCCTTCATATTTGGCAACGGTTCTTCATTCACTGTCCTTAATGTCTTTCAGACGGTGTTATCCCTTCATTATGTCCTCACATTGTCTACGCAACTGACGGTTTATCCCTCTTAACGTCTGTCCTTCACGTACTGTCCTTATTGGCAACTGACGGTATCCTTTCATAACGTCACTGTCCCTTTCACAAGTACTGTCCTTATTGGCAACTGACGGTGTTATCCCTTTCATTAACGTCATGTCCGTACTGTCCTTATGGCAACTGACGGTATTATCCTTTCATTAACGTCACTGTCCCTTTCACAAGTACTGTCCTTATTGGCAACTGACGGTGTTATCCTTTCATTAACATCACTGTCCCTTTCACAAGTACTGTCCTTATTGGCAACTGACGGTATTATCCCTTTCATTAACGTCACTGTCCCTTTCACAAGTACTGTCCTTATTGGCAACTGACGGTGTTATCCCTTTCATTAACGTCACTGTCCTTTCACAAGTACTGTCCTTACTGGCAACTGACGGTATTATCCTTTCATTAACGTCACTGTCCCTTTCCTGATACTGTCCTTACTGGCAACTGACGGTATTATCCCTTTCATTAACGCCACTGTCCTTTCACAAGTACTGTCCTTATTGGCAGCGGTGTTATCCTTTCATTAACGTCACTGTCCTTTCACAAGTACTGTCCTTACTGGCAACTGACGGTATTATCCTTTCATTAACATCACTGTCCTTTCACAAGTACTGTCCTTATTGGCAACTGACGGTATTATCCTTTCATTAACGTCACTGTCCTTTCTCAAGTACTGTCCTTACTGGCAACTGACGGTATTATCCCTTTCATTAACGTCACTGTCCCTTTCACAAGTACTGTCCTTACTGGCAACTGACGGTATTATCCTTTCATTAACATCACTGTCCTTTCACAAGTTCTGTCCTACTGGCAACTGACGGTATTATCCCTTTCATTAACGTCACTGTCCTTTCACAAGTACTGTCCTTACTGGCAACTGACGGTATTATCCCTTTCATTAACGTCACTGTCCCTTTCACAAGTACTGTCATATTGGCAACTGACGGTGTTATCCTTTCATTAACGTCACTGTCCTTTCACAAGTACTGTCCTTATTGGCAACTGACGGTATTATCCCTTTCATTAACGTCACTGTCCCTTTCACAAGTACTGTCCTTACTGGCAACTGACGATTATCCCTTTCATTAACGTCACTGTCCTTTCACAACGTCCTCGGCAACTGACGGTATTTCCTTTCATTAACATCACTGTCCCTTTCTAAAGTACTGTCCTTACTGGCAACTGACGGTATTATCCTTTCATTAACGTCACTGTCCTTTCACAAGTACTGTCCTTACTGGCAACTGACGGTATTATCCCTTTCATTAACGTCACTGTCCTTTCACAAGTACTGTCCTTATTGGCAACTGACGGTGTTATCCCTTTCATTAACGTCACTGTCCCTTTCACAAGTACTGTCCTTATTGGCAACTGACGGTATTATCCCTTTCATTAACGTCACTGTCCCTTTCACAAGTACTGTCCTTATTGGCAACTGACGGTATTATCCCTTTCATTAACGTCACTGTCCCTTTCACAAGTACTGTCCGACGGGTTTTCTAGGCTATCAACAAACATTAAGAAAATTAATATCTCAAGAAACTCTCACCACTTAACATGCGACACCTCCAAACGCGTTCTACTGACAATAGATACCAGTTTGTTCCTATGTTGCTCTTACAAGAAGCTAGTTTCCCCAGATGAAACATCACAGAAAATGGACAGCAGGGTGAGAGCGGGGTGTGGGGGTGTGGGGAGGACTCAAAATTATGATCTGGGTGGAATTAGGGTAGAATAGTTGAAGGGGGAAAGGAGTATGGGGTGTAAAAGAGAGATTAAATTAATAATCCTTGTTGATGTCGTCGGTCTAGTGGTAAAATATCGCACAGTAAATAGTGTTGTTTGCTGTGATATATTGTACAGTAACGTCCAGGGATGAGAGTAGCTTCGTGTCGTGTTTACCTGTATACTAATAAGCTCTTATATGTATATTATTACGTTAATAGATAACGACTGAGAAACAGATAGATAAGGGTAGGCCAAAACGGAGAGAGAGAGAGAGAGAGAGAGAGAGGCCAAAACAGAGAGAGAGAGAGAGGGGAGAAGGTAGGCCAAAACAAGAGAGAGAGAGAGAGAGAGAGAGAGAGAGAAAACGGAGAGAGAGAGGGTAGGCCAAAACGGAGAGAGAGAGAGAGAGAGGGGTGGGTCAAAACAGAAGAGGAGGAGAGAGAGAGAGAGAGAGAGAGAGAGAGAGGTAGGCCAAAACGGAGAGAGAGAGAGAGAGAGAGAGAGAGAGAGAGAGAAGGGTAGGCCAAAACAGAGAGAGAGAGAGAGAGAGAGAGAGGGAGGAAAACGGAGAGAGGAAAGGAGGGGGAGGCAAACAGAGAGAGAGAGAGAGAGAGAGAGAGGAAAACGGAGAGAGAGAGAGAGAGGGGGTGGTCAAAACAAGAGAGGAGGCCAAAACGGAGAGAGAGAGAGAGAGAGAGAGAGAGAGAGAGAGAGAGAGAAGGGTAGGCCAAAACAGAGAGAGTACCACAAGATGCACACCTTGGTTCGTGGTAGACAGTGAAGGAGTAGCAGTCACCACACCGGATTCGAGGCACGGGTTCGTCTCCCTTCCATATTCCCACTCCTAAATTTCCATCTCCCTTAATTAACCGGCGAGAGATAAGACAACATACAGTACAGTCTCAGAGCCATTTAGTCGTCATTCTGGATACTCTGTCTCTCTCTTTATCTACGTTCAAATTGAGGACATGAGCCTGGTGTACAAGTTTCCGTCTATTCATACCTTCGCCTCTTACTTTGTGCATCTATATGTTCATATCTTTATCTCTGTCTCTCTCTATCTCTGTCTGTATCTGTCTAAATTAAATTTATGTCTTATATCTCTCTCTCTCTTCTCTCTCTCTCTCAGATCATTAGTATGCAGGATGTCGTCAGGTGAGGGTGGGTGTAACCTGGGCAGGCTGGACCATGTAAGGCGGTGATGACGAATAGTGAAGTAGTTTTATAAGTGACAAATTTACCAGTGTGTCACTACTGCAAGTGTTGATGGCATGGACTGAGGGTGTGACGTATATAGACCCCATATCATTATTTTTAAAGGTAGCATATTATTACATCGTTGGTCAGCACACACCAGAGACTGCCTTACTCGATAAAAGATTAAGTTAATGTAAACATATTCTGGTCCAGCTACACTACTGTTAGTAAATGGCAACCCGCAAGGTAGTGTGTTGGCTCCGATCGTATTCATTATCATAGTTGAGTGTGTATCGCCTGATGTGTAATTCTTTCGTTGATGATACAAACTTGTTATCACATATTCCATCTGGCCTAATTCAGCTGCAAATGGATCTAGACAACCTCCAACAGTATACGAAGTTACTCAGTGGGCACTAGAAAGAAGCCACTGACCACTGATCGTATACAAATGAAAAACAAATATTGAGCTATAAAAGACGAGGAACTAAAACAAAAGTGTGGCAGACAACAAATACATGTGGCTTGAAGATCATTTAAACGATAATTCCTTCAGACGCAGTAGTACAGTACACGGGGCTGGTCTGGCAACAAGTGGGTCAGTATACAAGTGTGGTGTAGCAGCCTCACAAGACCGAGGATGTCTAGGAATACTGGACTTTAGTAAATTAACTTAAATGTTACTCCTCATTCTATGGATCAACACACGTCTTCACAACAGACGCCATTACACATTAGTTTCTTATCTTGCAACTTACATCGTGTCCATTAGAACCTCAACTTTTCCCTTAGAGCATTTAAGAGGGTCATGCCATGCGTTTAATATTGTACGAAATTGTTTGTGGAAGTTATCTACATTTTTGTACATATGAAATTCAAAGGTTTTAAGCTTATAGACACACTTGTAAACATCATCTTTACAAACATGTTATCCAGTTATCCAAAAGCAGCACCGTGTCAACACATCCTCTGATAATAATATTATGATCCATTAAATTATACTGATAACGGGTATTCTAATTATAGAAAATGGTTGTGTGAGTTCAGCATTATCTGGGTAACTAAACAAATAGTGGCGCCACGGGTAGGAGCTACAGCCCAGACCCTCGGTGCTATCTTGGTAGTATCGACACCCATTACTACCTAGTAGAGAAGTATAACCAGTCTGCGCTACTACTAACGCTGCTATTATCACTAGTAGTGCCCCCCCCCCTCTCTCTCTCTCTCTCTCTCTCTCTCTCTCAGATGTAGTGTGAATAACAGGTATCTTCTCTCCCATCACAGATGCGTGCACTGGTGCTTGCGACTGTGGTGGTGGTAGTGGCTGCGGGCTATGGTCCACCCAAACCCGTTTCCAACCCATTCACTCACGGTAACGGAGGCTCCAGCAGCAGCGGTGGTGGAGGCTGCGGTAGTGGCGGCTGCGGGAACAGCGGCTGCGGTAGCGGTGGTAGCGGGTGCGGCGGAGGCGGCCGCCACACAGGCCGTAACATGTAGCGGGAGCGGCTGCGGTGGTGCGCCGAGTGGTGGCGGCAGCGGGTGTTCGGGGCCAGGGTGTCCCCGACCTCCCTCCACTAACTCAGGCCCTTACTGGTGGCAGGGAGAAAACTCCCCCTTTAAGCATTCTCCAGGTAAGGTCAGCACACCAGCAAGACCCGGGGCACAGTGCGGCAATGGCGGCAGCTGCTCTCCCACACCCTCACAAGGCTCCCCACCACACCAGACCTTCGTGCAGTCCGCCCCACCACAGGCGACCGGCACACAATCCAGACCATCACGGCTGCCTGTGATCCCACCCACAGAGCAGAACCTAGTAGTGCGACCCATGGGCATCTGTCCTGTGAGGTTTGTTTGCGTCCACTGGCAGTTGTGTCGTAACGGAAACGTGATCGCGGACGGCACCGGCAACATCAACAAGAGGATCAAGGAAGTCCCCCCGCAGGTAAGGACACAGGTGTGGGAAACACGTGTAGCGGACAAGGGTGCATGGTGAGTAATGACATAGGTGCAGGACACAAGTGTATAAAGACAGTCTTAGAACATGTGGAGAGGACAAGTGTAACTCTAGACCAAAAGTATAAAACAGACACGAGTACAATATACTGTACTAGACAAGTGTTTCAAGCAAGTGAACAGAACACCTGTGTGATTCTCGTGTATGTGTGTGTGTGTGTGTGTGTGTGTGTGTGTGTGTGTGTGTGTGTGTGTGTGTGTGTGTGTGTGTGTGTGTGAATGATGCTTCACTAAGCGTCACTACATAAGACAATCTCATACACGTCTCTAACAGTTAAAATTCTTTGAGATATAATCTAAGTGTTAAACCATCTGGAAAAGACAAATTACTTATGATAATATTACTTAGGTTAGGTTATGTTAGAGTAAGCTAAGTTAGGTTAGACTATGTTAGAGTAAGCTAAGTTAGGTTAGACTATGTTAGAGTAAGCTAAGTTAGGTTAGGTTATGTTAGAGTAAGCTAAGTTAGGTTAGATTATGTTAGAGTAAGCTAAGTTAGGTTAGATTATGTTAGAGTAAGCTAAGTTAGGTTAGACTATGTTAGAGTAAGCTAAGTTAGGTTAGGTTATGTTAGAGTAAGCTAAGTTAGGTTAGGTTATGTTAGAGTAAGCTAAGTTAGGTTAGTATGTTAGAGTAAGCTAAGTTAGGTTAGGTTATGTTAGAGTAAGCTAAGTTAGGTTAGGTTATGTTAGATAAGCTAAGTTAGGTTAGGTTATGTTATAAGCTGTTAGGTTAGACTATGTTAGAGTAAGCTAAGTTATAGGTTATGTTAGAGTAAGCTAAGTTAGGTTAGACTATGTTAGAGTAAGCTAAGTTAGTGGGTTATATATGTTAGTTAGGTTAGACTATGTTAGAGTAAGCTGCTAGTTAGGTTATGTTATGTTAAGTTAGTTAGGTTATGTTAGAGTAAGCTAAGTTAGGGTTAGATTATGTTAGAGTAAGCTGTCAGGTTAGACTATGTTAGAGTAAGCTAAGTTAGGTTAGGTTATGTTAGAGTAGCTGTTAGGTTAGGTTTGTTAGAGTAAGCTAGGTTAGGTTAGACTATGTTAGAGTAAGCTAAGTTAGGTTAGACTATGTTAGAGTAAGCTAAGTTAGGTTAGGTTATGTTAGAGTAAGCTAAGTTAGGTTAGGTTATGTAAGAGTAAGCTAAGTTAGGTTAGACTATGTTAGAGTAAGCTAAGTTAGGTTAGGTTATGTTAGAGTAAGCTAAGTTAGGTTAGACTATGTTAGAGTAAGCTAAGTTGGGTTAGGTTATGTTAGAGTAAGCTAAGTTAGGTTAGGCTATGTTAGAGTAAGCTGTTAGGTTAGAGTAAGCTAGTTAGGTTAGACTATGTTAGAGTAAGCTAAGTTGGTAGGGTATGTTAGAGTAAGCTAAGTTGGGTTAGGTTATGTTAGAGTAAGCTAAGTTAGGTTAGACTATGTTAGAGTAAGCTAAGTAGTTAGGTTATGTTAGAGTAAGCTGTTAGGTTAGACTATGTTAGAGTAAACTAAGTTAGGGTTAGATTATGTTAGAGGCTGCTAGGGTTGAGGCATGTTATAAGCTGCTAGGTAGGGTAGTGTTAGAGTAAGCTAAGTTAGGTTAGATTATGTTAGAGTAAGCTAAGTTAGGTTAGGTTATGTTAGAGTAAGCTAAGTTAGGTTAGACTATGTTAGAGTAAGCTAAGTTAGGTTAGATTATGTTAGCTTAGTTAATTTAGAATAGGTTAGGTTAGGACAGCTTTGGTTAAACCACGTTAGGTTAGAATAGATTAAATTAGGTTAGGTTAGATCAGGATAGGTTACACTAGGTTAGGTTAGATCAGGATAGGTTATACTAGGTTAGGTTAGATCAGGATAGGTTACACTAGGTTAGGTTAGATCAGGATAGGTTACACTAGGTTAGGTTAGATCAGGATAGGTTATACAAGGTTAGGTTAGATCAGGATAGGTTATACAAGGTTAGGTTAGATCAGGATAGGTTATACTAGGTTAGGTTAGATCAGGATAGGTTACACTAGGTTAGGTTAGATCAGGATAGGTTACACTAGGTTAGGTTAGATCAGATAGGTTATACAGTTAGGTTAGATCAGGATAGGTTAAGGGTTAGGTTAGACAGGATAGGTTATACTAGGTTAGGGTTAGATCAGGATAGGTTACACTAGGTTGGGTTAGATCAGGATAGGTTATACTGGTTAGGTTAGATCGGGATAAGTTACACTAGGTTAGGTTAGATCAGGATAGGTTACACTAGGTTAGGTTAGATCAGGATAGGTTACACTAGGTTGTTAGATAGAATGTGACAGGTTGTGCTAGGGTTAGACTGGATAGGTTATACAGGTTAGGTTAGATCAGGATAGGTTACACTAGGTTAGGTTAGATCAGGATAGGTTATACTAGGTTAGGTTAGATCAGGATAAGTTACACTAGGTTAGGTTAGATCAGGATAGGTTACACTAGGTTAGGTTAGATCAGGATAGGTTACACTAGGTTAGGTTGTGTGTTACAGTAGGTGTTGTGTGTTGTAGGTGTTGTGTGTTGTAGGTGTTGTGTGTTGTAGGTGTTGTGTGTTGTAGGTGTTGTGTGTTGTAGGTGTTGTGTGTTGTGGGTGTTGTGTGTTGTAGGTGTTGTGTGTTGTAGGTGTTGTGTGTTGTAGTGTTGTGTGTTGTGGTGTTGTGTGTAGGTGTTGTGTGTAGGTGTTGTGTGTTGTGTGTTGATGTTGTAGGTGTTGTGTGTTGTGGTGTGTGTGTTTAGGTGTTGTGTGTTTTAGGTGTTGTGTGTTGTAGGTGTTGTGTGTTGTAAGTGTTGTGTGTTGTAAGTGTTGTGTGTTGTAAGTGTTGTGTGTTGTAGGTGTTGTGTGTTTGTAGGTGTTGTGTGTGTTGTAGGTGTTGTGTGTTGTAAGTGTTGTGTGTTGTAGGTGTTGTGTGTGTTGTAAGTGTTGTGTGTTGTAGGTGTTGTGTGTTGTAGGTGTTGTGTGTTTTAGGTGTTGTGTGTTGTGGGGTGTTGTGTGTTGTAGGTGTGTGTGTGTTGTGTGGTGTTGTGTGTTGTAGGTGTTGTGTGTTGTAGGTGTTGTGTGTTGTGTGTTGTAAGTGTTGTGTGTTGTAGGTGTTGTGTGTTGTAAGTGTTGTGTGTTGTAAGTGTTGTGTGTTGTAGGTGTTGTGTGTTTTAGGTGTTGTGTGTTGTAGGTGTTGTGTTGTAGTGTTGTGTGTTGTAGGTGTTGTGTGTTGTAGGTGTTGTGTGTTGTATGTGTTGTGTGCTGTAGGTGTTGTGTGTTGTAAGTGTTGTAAGTGTTGTGTGTTGTAGGTGTTGTGTGTTTTAGGTGTTGTGTGTTGTAGGTGTTGTGTGTTGTGTGTTGTAGGTGTTGTGTGTTGTAAGTGTTGTGTTGTAAGTGTTGTGTGTTGTAGGTGTTGTGTGTTTTAGGTGTTGTGTGTTGTAGGTGTTGTGTGTTGTAGGTGTTGTGTGTTGTAAGTGTTGTGTGTTGTAGGTGTTGTGTGTTGTAAGTGTTGTGTGTTGTAGGTGTTGTGTGTTGTAAGTGTTGTGTGTTGTAAGTGTTGTGTGTTGTAGGTGTTGTGTGTTTTAGGTGTTGTGTGTTGTAGGTGTTGTGTGTTGTAAGTGTTGTGTGTTGTAGGTGTTGTGTGTTGTAAGTGTTGTGTGTTGTAGGTGTTGTGTGTTGTAGGTGTTGTGTGTTGTAGGTGTTGTGTGTTGTAGGTGTTGTGTGTTGTAAGTGGTGTGTAGGTGTTGCTCTAGATGTTGTTACTCCCGCAGGTAAGGGCGTCGTACACTAGCTGTGGTGGGGACATGGTGTGCTGCGGCGTCCCCAGCGGCTCACTGGCACCAGGGCCCTCCAACCCCTCTCTCCCATTTCCGTTCCCACCAACCGGACCAGCTTCAAGCTCAACTGGACAAGCTTCATTCCCAAGTGGACCAGCTCCAAGCTCAACTGGACAAGCTTCATTCCCAAGTGGACCAGCTCCAAGCTCAACTGGACAAGCTTCATTCCCAAGTGGACCAGCCTCACGCCCAAGTGGACCAGCTTCAAGACCAACTGGACAAGCTTCATTCCCAAGTATACCAGCCTCACGCCCAAGTGGACCAGCTTCAAGCTCAACCGGACCAGCTTCATTCCCAAGTGGACCAGCTTCATTCCCAAGTGGACCAGCCTCACGCCCAAGTGGACCAGGTTCAAGCTCAACCGGACAAGCTTCATTCCCAAGTGGACAAGCTTCATACCCAAGTGGGCCAGCTTCAAGACCAACTGGACAAGCTTCATTCCCAAGTGGACCAGCCTCACGCCCAAGTGGACCAGGTTCATTCCCAAGTGGACCAGCCTCACGCCCAAGTGGACCAGGTTCAAGCTCAACCGGACAAGCTTCATTCCCAAGTGGACAAGCTTCATACCCAAGTGGACCAGCTTCAAGACCAACTGGACAAGCTTCATTCCCAAGTAAACCAGCCTCACGCCCAAGTGGACCAGCTTCAAGGCCAACCGGACCAGCTTCACGCCCACCTGGACCAGGTTCATTCCCAAGTGGACCAGCTTCAAAGCCAACCGGACCAGCTTCACGCCCACCTGGATCAGGTTCATTCCCAAGTGGACCAGCTTCAAGGCCAACCGGACCAGCTTCACGCCCACCTAGACCAGGTTCATTCCCAAGTGGACCAGCCTCCTCAAGCCCACAACCTTCCCGGCCCTCCTCCGGAACACCCCAAAGACCAGCTGGTCCCAGACCACAGTCCACCATCATCAACCAGGCCAGGCCAGTCGCTCCCGGCCAACCATTCTTCCAGCCCGGTGCCCCAAATGGGCAACCAGCACAACCACGCCCACAAGTTCCCATCAGCAACCCCATCGGCATAACGGGTCCTCCCAGCCCCCAACCAACACCCATGGGAGGAATGATGATGGGCATGATGCCCATGAGGTCAGGGTCGTGCAGCGCGGGCACCTACTGTGTACCCCCCAGCACGTGTAACCCCTACACTGGCTTCATCATCAGGAACAACAGCATGTTGATGGCCGTGTGGCCAGGTGCACCAACCGTTCCTCTGCTGGTGAGTTGTTCATCTCTTCTTGACCTGACAGATCACCTTGTGATACTCGAGATAGGCAGCAGGCAGCTATCAAACAGGGAGGTACTGCTGCCTGGGAAGATATTGGAAGCATAATGTGCAGGGTCTCAATTGTTTCTCTTAGTTTAACAACAAAACATATATAACTTTTCTCTCTCTTGATCTGTTTTATTTGATCTATTTCTTTATTAAATCATGGAGTTAGTTGACAATATTATTAAAGAGGGACCTTCTCGGATGGGTCCCACTGGTCGGGAAGGTTGTGGACCCCAGGGCCGACCTGATCATCATCAAGCTACTGGGGCCTCAACTGACGTCACGGCGGTTGCTGGAGGATCGTATTTTTTCACACTTCAGTTTTCCAACATTCGCGGACTGAGATCCAATTTTCCCTCTGTGCAGCACCATCTATTAACCTCTTCCTCCGACCTCTTACTACTATCCGAACTTCAACTGACCAAAGCAGCTTCACCCAAACCTTTTCAAGTCTCCAACTACAACCATTGTACCTCTTTCCTTCTAAGGGAGGTGTATGCTCCAACTGCAACACACGTACACCTATAGCTCGACTCACGGATCTTGAATCTTCTCTTTACGATGTCATTTGGCTCAAAATATCTCTACCAACTATGACTATTTTTTTCCTATACTGTACTGTTCTCCATCTCTACTAACTACATGGGTCTCTTTGCCTCTCTCACTTCTTGCCACGAGTCACTGCTATCCACACACCCCAACACCGAGATCCTCTATCTCGGGGATTTCAATGTAGGCTACATCACAGATAGTGGCTTGGCTCTACAAGGAATGACCCAGGTGGAGTCAAGAGACTCTTTTTTTGCTTACTTAATGATCTGGAACAAATAATTAAACACCCAATTGACCCAATACTTTCTAACTTGGAGTACTGCTCTCATATTTGGGGTGGTTCTTCATCTGTCCAACTGTTAGATAGTGTGGAATCAAAGGCATTTCGTTGTTTTAACTCTCCTCATTTACTCAATAATCTTTCTTCAATTTCTCTTCGCTGCAATGTTGCTTCACTTTCTCTCTTTTACTGGTACTTTAACGGGCATTGTTCGGTGGATTTGGCATCCTGTGTACCGCCGGCAAGGCTGTGGGCTCCAAACACACGTCTTGCCCGCGGTGCCCACCGTTTATGTGTAGATCTCGGTCACACTAGAATAACCAGTTATAGTACATCCTTCTTTCCTCACACAGCCAAACTGTGGAATGCTCTGCCTTCTTCTGTGTTTCCATACTCCTACAATCTGTCTGTCATAAAAAGCTGGTTTTCGGCATCTTCGTGATGTACTGTAGATTAATATACTAGTTTTGTTCTTTAATTTTTAGTCCCCCTTCCCCCTCCAGGCCCCGTTATGGGTCGATAACTTGTACCCGGGTAGGCTATTCCTCATAAAAAAATCAGCTAGGTTTACTCTCGTTTAGTTCACTAGATACCCTTTCAATATTCTCCGTCACTTCGGACACAACATACTGACACCACATTTAAGACAAAAGGCCGTTGATTAGTCAATGACCTTTTGATCTTCATAATTAGCTATTTCATTCATAATAACAATCTGTCAATATAATTTTAGTCATCCTTTCAAGTCACATGACAAATTCGTTTTCTTTAACAAGAATGTTTAAGAGAAATGTTGTGAGGTGACAAACAGATAAACCAGGGGCAGATCCAGGGGGTCCGGACCCCACCCCCCACCCCTCTTTTTTTTTCATTATAAAATGCAAAGGCTTTTTCTTGGTAAAATTATCGTTTTGGTCACCCGGCGAATTTTAGTTAGCAACAATAAATTATTGTAAACACAAACTCTATACATAAAATATTATTTGGAGAAAAATGATATATTGGTGGAATAGCAGATGGTTGATTGATACATAAATAAATGTAGAACATGTCAGCTGCGCCACATACTAACATACAGGTGTTTACTCCCCAGCCTTGCTTCGTCCCAGATGGCTCCATCACCAATGGTGTTTGTTGCCAGGAGGCTCACCCTAATGCTGCAGGCGCCGACTAAGTCACGTCCACTCCAACGCCCACGGACAAGTCACACGTCCAAGTCATCTGCAACGCCAGTTCTTTGATTAATCTTATTCTAGAACAACTACAGCTACTACTCCACGCCCACGACGCTAAATATACCATTAGCATCAATGCCCTGTCTACCTATACGGCAAAGCCTTGAAATTAGTGCATGTCTACTACTGTAGGAACACTCGTGTAATATCTGTAACTTCCGTATTTAGATTGTAACAAAACTCAGGCGAGAGCAGCAAAATGTTCTCATCTCTAAGCTATGGTCGTCAACAGGAAGACTTCAAACAAAGAATAAAAAAAACGCCACATTACATAAGTTATCATGACAAATTCCTTTCCTGTGACCAAGAATTTATCAATTTTCTTTAATATAACTCTTTTAACTCTAAGGAAATTTTTTTACTGAAAAACGACATTATTTCATGTGATTATAAAATTGGGTAATGAATAAAAAGAAATCTATGGCAGGATCATTCAAAAAATAGATAAATTAGTAAAAAAAAAAAGCAATGATAAGAGTTAACATGAATATACGACATAAAGGAAGGAGTTAGAGGGCATTACAAGGCGTGAATATAAAATTTACAATTAATAGGCGGCAAACCTTTGATACAACATCTACCTGGTCTTTCACATACATGCGTCAAAGACACAATGGCTACAACAGAATACAATATTGATTTATTAATTAAAATTTATGAATTAAAAAAAATATATATACTTGTATATAACAAGCAGAATAAATATGAGTTGTGATTTATGTTATAGACTTAGTAATACCGATATACTGTTTACTTCAAGTAATTTGTTTAAGTGTTCGTGTAGCAACATCCAGCTGAGATCCACACATTTGTTTACACTTACAAAAACGCCATGAAGTAAAAAAAAATATCACAATAAAATTACTCATTTGTCTTGTGGTCATCACACGTTAGAACTATGTACAGTACAGTATATCATAATGTTGACTGCCGCATCATATATACATGTATGGGGTCATTTTTACAGGGTTATATATTGTACAAGTTGTGAGTTATTTTCTTACTTATACTTGTTCAGTTTTAATTTAAAGAAAATACTTGTTTGTTATTCACTGTCATCTACAAATTTAAGACCAGAACTCAGTCTTATATTTTGTTATTATTTTCAAATTAAATTATTGCTACTGTAATGGAAAATCATTCATTAGTTTCTCAGATGTATATGATATAGAACTTATGAAAACAAGATGAACGATTTAATGGTATTATGAGTTGCCGGCGAAAACATCCATTCAAACGCATCTCGATTTTAAACTGAAACAATTATTGGAACACAAGATGAACTCTTCTAGTGTAGGTATAAATTATTGTTTTACTTTTACTTTGTTTGACCTTTTCATTCGTTTATATTTTTCTATTGTTGTTTTGTATATTTTCCTTACCTATTACACTGTATATTCCATTATTTTGTCTTTTCTTCCCCACTACATTTATTCTTCTTTCTCTGAATTTAGATGTTGTATATAAATAAATGATTAAAATCTTCATAAATTATATAATTCATTTATTGAGATTTGAATTCATGACGAAGAAAAGGTTTTAGTCGATTATTTTAACATCAGAAAGTATATAACATTACCATACACAGGACTGCTATGTAATAATATCTACATATATTGTTGAAAACAGATGACAAGGGCCTTTCAAACCTAACATTTCTAACCTAACCAAACCAAAATTACGCCAGGCTTGTTAGGTTAGTTAAGGTTAGGTTTGATTAGTTAAAGTATGAAAATATATGGTTTGGCGGTTATGTTTGTGGTACTCTGGCAACATGGTAAGTCTTCCAGGGACTACTGCACTACAGTACATAGGATGTTCTATTATTTATAACTCATTCATTTCTGTTTAATAAAAAAAATGTATCAGTGTACAAGTGTTTCATATATCTTCCCGTGTTATAAAGAGAAGACTGTCAACTACACACAAAGACATTAAAGGGCGGTGTAGTGGACACTCCCCTACAACTGATCTCTCTTCTTCGGCTCAGCCAATCAGCAGTGAGTTCCAGACCGCAGTCTCTGCCCCCGAACTGTTCGCTGATTGGCCACCTGCCGTCCTCGCCCAGCCAATCAGCAGCGCTTTTTTCACTTCGCACCTCGAATCTTGACTCGGCAGGATCACATAAATACAACACGCCAGCCTTCGCCGTGATCTGACCTCTCTCAAGATCCTTCACTGCCAAAGCCAGCCAGCCAGCCTTTGTCCTAAACTGTTGACGACCGTTGGAACGCAAACGACCATTACTTAACGCCACTAACCACCACCCAAACATTCGGGAAGCTCGCTCCAGACAACACCCTCTCTGTGTCTCCCTACTGATCAGTGGCGCCCCAGATTGGGTGCTCTGTAACGGCTTCCTGCAGCAGAGTTGTGCCGGGATCCCACTGGAGTTTCTTGCACCAGTGGCTATTCCTCCTTTATTCTTCCTTCTATCTCGCTCTGGCCTGGGGACCTACATCCTAGAGGTATATTCATCCTTGGGTCCTCCCTGTAACTGTTCACCTCCCTCCCAGGAGTTTGTGAACACGAAAGGGAGGAGCAGAACCCATTCCTCCGCCGAGCCTTCCTGGGTAACCTTGATGGTGCCTATAAGTGAGCGGCTTATATAAACACCAGCCAGGAAAGTAGGCTCCCCTGACGGGGCTGTGGGAGAGAGACACAGGAACCACCTTTCGACCACTCGACCGACAAGAGGCGGTGGGAGGTGTTGTAATTCCTGTGGTAGGTTAACTCACCCAGACTAGGTAGGTTATCTATTGTATATCAAAAGGTGGCTTGTCCACCTTGCCCTCTCCATAATGAGGGCACATAGGGTAAGGATACGCTCCCTTGACGGGGGTGAAGCCGAACCACGGAAAAACTCACTAGCCGAACTGCTCGGAGCAGCACTACTCATAAAGATTACGGGCCTCATTACCACCAGGGATTCATTCATGGCCTGACCGAAGAAGACTTTGACACCCTGTTATCTAACGACAACATAAAGCATCTGAAGAAGCAGCGATTCGAAGTCGTAATCCCACCACAACTAAGAGCCAGGAAGACCGTAGTAGTTAAAACACTGGACAGGACCATCACAGAAGACACAAGTGAACAACAACTGAAATTAGACCTGGAGCAAAGAAACCAATGGGCCAGAGTAGAGGAGGTAGTTAAACTCCCTAAACTACCATCTATGCTGAAAATTAGGTTTCAGGACATAAGAATGGCACAAAAGGCAATAGAGGAGGGACTCTGTCTCTCCTACTACCATATAGGTAGTAACCAAGTTGAACAGGAAGATTTTTCTCCCATCACGCCTTGCTGGAACTGCTACAAATATACACACTTAGCCACGGACTGCCCGAACAAAAACACTAAATACTGCTCCGAATGCAGGGAAGTGGGGCATACATTTCGGGAGTGCAGGAGTAGAGAAATTCCTAGGTGCCTGAACTGCCAAGGAGACCACAGAACACTGGCAGCACGCTGTCCAGCAAGGAAAGAGATAGTAAAAGAAAGGAAGGAAATTGAAATGGAAAGAGCACAGGAAAAGCAAAACAGGACCTACTCGGCTGTAGCCAAATTAACAAAGGAAACAACTAAAGTCCTTGAAAAGGTAGCCTCACAAACCCCAGCTCAACAACCTATGGTGCTCAACCTGGGAAGTCAACTGTCGGTTAAAATCAAGACGGCAATAATACTCGCCTACCTCTTGGATATTGCCAAACCAGGATGTGTTGCTAAAAGGGTAAAGGAAATGTCCGCGGCAAATAACCTCCCAGACATGGAATTCCCCAACGACGTTCCCTCCTCAGAAATCTTCAACCTGATCTACACATCAGCGGAAACCACCAGTCAGGCGCATGCCACCCAATCACAAGCCACCTCTGACATAACCCCCCTCTCCCCCTCAACCAGAAAGTAGTGAAGAGGGGATGGAAGAAGACGAAGAGGAGCAGGAACCTGTGATACAACCTGAACAAGCGATCATATACAGCACCCCTATAAAGAACAAAATGGGAAACGTGGCGCCACCACCGTCACCAAGAAAGATTACTGAGAATCAGGATCTCGGTGAGGAAACCGGTATTAAGTTTTACACCTGCTCAGCCCCCCAAATAGTCTCAACCGAGAGACTACTGACAGAGATAAGGGAAGGAAGAGTAAAATATACATATACAGGTAAGATTCTGGAAGATCACCACATAGAAACATTAATAAAGAGAGGAAGAATCCTGACCAAATATAACAGAATAGAAAAAGTGGAGCAATCCAAGTACAGAAAAACCCGCCTCGGCCTGCACACGGAGAGGAGGTCTTCAGGAGAACATCGATCATCTAAAATGCCGCAAACAAGTTCGAGACATCACCATTCATAATCAACAGACTTAAAATAATTCAACATAATGTCCTGGCCTGGACCACACCAAGAGCTCACGACTTATACAACATATATCGTACCCTGGACCCAGAAGTCATCATGTTAAATTCTCACCTCAAGCGTAATTCAAATAAAATCAAGATATTCAATTACACAGTATACCCCCCCCCCCAAAAAAAAAGAGCCAAAATCCGTTACAATTAAAAGAAGTATAAAACATAAAATCCATGATACATATCAAGAAAACTTTCTGGCAATTGAAATTAACAGCACAGCAGGTCCAATCATAATCGGCACCTGCTACCTCCCTCCAAGACGACCAATCTTTCCAATAGCAGACATGCTCAGATTGATGAGGAGGAACATACCTGCATACTTTCTGGGCGATCTCAACGCTAGACACCGCATACTAGGACACCACACCAACAACGCCGTAGGCCGGGTCCTGAACACACTAGTGAGCCACGGCAACACCTCGGACCGGAATGCCCTACGTACATTAGAGCAGGCCACACAGTATACCCAGACATCGTTGTAACAAGTCAACACCACCACTTAAACATACTACTCGAACCCGGCCCACTAGTGATCATCTCCCTATCATAGCCACACTCTCCACAGTCCCAACACAGATCCCTGGAATGGCGGCGCTGAATCGTACCCTACCCCATATTTTTTACCTGACGTGACATGACTAGTTATGTCGCCTGTTCTTATAATCTCTTCTTATGTTTGCTGGGTGGTTGGTGTGTGGATTAGTGGATGTCATGTTTTTTAACCTGACCTCATGTTTTGTAAGGTCACCATGTGTACATAAGCTCTCTCTCAGTCTTGATAATTCAGTTGCCTCTGAAGATGTCTTGAATAAAGACGAAAGCTAAGGTGCTCCATTGTTTACCTTTTTCCTGTGTGATTTTATCAATATATATATATATATATATATATATATATATATTCACTACTGGTAGTCTCTTTTAATATTTTATTTAGCTAACATCAGAAGATTTTATTTAGCCCAGAAAGACCCCTCGTTCCAAGCAGTGGTGGTTTCAAGAAACCTTGTTTGCATATAAGGGACCCCATGTAATAATAATAAGAAAAAAATAATATCCTTTATTATTCTATACAGACAGACTTAACTAAAAGTAAATACATAAAATTCATACTAAGTTCACTTTTGTCCTGTCAAACAACCATCAAGTGACAACATATTGATTATACGAGTATTCCTGTGTGCGTGGCGAGATTTTCTTGTACAGGTGTGTGTGCGTGCGTGTGTGTGTGTGTGTGTGCGTGTGTGTGTGTGGAATAATAATAATTAATTCTAAATAATAATTTACGGTTTATTGAGAGAACATAGCAGCCGAAGGGTTGAAAATATACCGTAGTCAACAGAGATGATGAAAATTACATAATTTTCGGAATGGGTCACTTGATTGACACATGGTAAACAAGTAACACAAGCAGTACAAATATTATGTTATACTAACATGGGACGCGGGGGGTCATTCAACAGAGCACTTCAACATAGTAACAAAACAAAAGGAAGAATGACAGGGAGTGAACACACTGGTTAACTACGAGTTGTTGATAATTTTTACAATGGTCGCATGGGCTGTAGTGTCGAACAACAATTCGCGGACGGTGTCGAGGCAGGGGAAGCGTAGGTGAGCTTTTGAAGTATGAGTCTGAGTAAGCACTGAAGACCAAGACGGAGGAGGTGGAGACGAAAACTGAAGGATTTGATAATTACACTGACGCCGAGGAGCTTCGTGGAGTCCACAACCTGGAGTGTGTTGGGGTCCAAAACAATGGTGGGAGATGGGACAAGGTCAGAGGAGAGTTTGATGTGCATAACCATGTTCTTGGTGTGGTTGTTGGTGGCCCAATTTTGAAGACTGTTCAATATATACGAGTATTCTGGAGGGCAGTGTAGTCGGGAGCAGAGTTGTTCACACTGATCCCAATGGTGGAGTCGTTAACATATTTCCAGCGAGCGAGAGTTTCTCTCAGTACAGGGCATCATTGATAAGGGTGAGGAAGCAGAGTGGTCCCATCTTGATACCTTGGGGAACGCCATATGAGTGACTGAAAGGTGGAGACAGCCCCTCGGAAGCGTACGGCTTGGCGTCGGTCACGAAAGGAAGTCTGTAAGCCATGGTATAAGACCTCCGAAACCCGAGGTTGATAGCTTTGTTGATAAATAAATTGTGGTTGACAAGGTCGAATGCCTTGGCGAAGTCAATGAATGCGACAGCCACAGACGTCTTTCGTGTTTCCAAATAGTGGTATATGTAGTCGAGAAAGCTAACGAGACAGTGGGTGTTGGAGGAAATTTTTATCTTGCCACATCGCTATGGCGCCTGTAAAATCAGCATATTCGCAGATTAATCTGGGTACTGGGGTGATGGTAATGGTTATAGTAACTCATTTAAGGATTTGGGCACTGGTGAAACATAGTGAGTCTTCCAGTCAGCTGGGCATCCTGCTTGGCCGAGGAAAGCATTGATGATGGAGCAGAGGTGTTTAGCTAGTTCCGGGGAGAACTCCTTGTAGAGTTTCAATGATAAGTCAATGGGGGTGGTGGAGCGCTTTAGCTTCAGTTGTTCAAACGTCATGCGACTTCAAATTCTTTCACTGGTAGGTAAGCAATGTGTCAAGCCGGGGGAGCGTCTGGCTTATACGAGAAGTTGCGAAACGGTTGTTAGATTGCAGCACCATTAGTGAGGTGACTAAGGAAGGGGAGGTTGTGTGTGTGTGTGTGTGTGTGTGTTTTATGGATTTAGTTTCAAATTTCTCGTATGGAGAAAAGTGCAAAAAGGTCGATTCTCGACCAGTGTTTACTGCAAACTTTCCACCGTGAGTAACAGTGTGGTGACTATGGTCCACGTTTTAATGTATGCTAATGCACACCTTGAGTAGTTGTTGTTGACAGCGTTACAGCCATGTGTCTTACTGTCCAGTTCCTACATGTATGAAACTATTTATGTATAAAACTACAGTATTGACTAAAAGATACCAAACTATAATACGGTTTGTTTGAGGTGCTACAGAAGTGTGTGTGTGTGATCAGGAGACCACGAGAGGGTAGGAGTACTGGTGGGTCGGGGAGCTAAAGGAAACGTGAGCCACGCCTGTTGACGCCCCAAACCCACTCGTCCCTCTCCCTGCGCTCCCCACACTCTTCCCACGCCCCACAGACTGCAGACTGGGGTTCGTGTTTCTGAGTGGAGGGCGTGGAGGAGTAGTAGTCGTAGTGGGTGGAGGCGGAGGGAGTGTCGAGGTGGACGAAGGAGGTGGAGGTGTGGGACGCGTCGTACGTGTTTTGCTGATGGGTTGCCTCCTCCCAGACTGAGCCAGGATCACGGGGCTGCTCACGCCTCCGGGTGCAGCAGGTCGTGTGGCGGATGGCCTGGCAGATGTGGGTTGTGCGACAGCTGGTGTGACGGGACGACGTTGAGCGGATGTTCGTTGTGAAACAGAAGTTGACCAAACAGCACTAGGGACCACAGGTGCTGTTTGCTTAGATTTGGGAAAGTGAGGACGTGGTGCAGCAGTAGAAGTGACAGAAGGACGTCGTGGAGAAGCCGAAGTGGCAGAAGGACGTCGTGCAGCAGAAGTGGCAGAAGATCGTCGTGCAGTAGCAGAAGAGGCAGAAGGTCGTCGTGCAGTAGCAGAAGTGGCAGAAGGTCGTCGTATAGCAGCAGAAGTGGCAGAAGGTCGTCGTATAGCAGCAGAAGTGGCAGAAGGACGTCGTATAGCAGCAGAAGTGGCAGAAGGACGTCCCACAGGCGAAGATTGGAGGACTGGCTTGGCGGTGCGTTGTGCAGCTGCTGGAGGGACTTTAGCTGTAGATGTCGGCCGCCTGACATTCTGCGACGCCGTGACTCGGTTGATACCGTTGAAGGAGGCTCGTCCTGTGCCAGATGTCGAAGATGATGATGTTGACGACGATGGTGACGAAGACGATGGGAAACCACGAGAGGCTATGGCCCTCCCTCTTGATGGCGATGGAGAGGACAAAGATGAACTAACTGATTTTCCTCCTACACGAGAAGCCCCTGAAGATGATTTAGACCCCAAGGACCGGCCTGAACTTGTAGCGTCAGCTGAGGCAGGTCGTCCGGCATCCCCGAACGGCTGCATCACGTCCTCCACTTGAACGTCGACCACGAAGCCGATCTCGTCGTTGGCGCGGTAAATGACGGTCTGCCTCTTACCGTCGGGTCTCAGGTAAGAGTAGCGCCCCTCCACAGTGCCATCTTCTAACGCTTCTTGCTGAGACTTCTCATCGTAGGTGGGCTGGTTCTTCACCTCCCACGTCACAGCGTACGACGGGTTGGGGTCTACGAAGTTGTCCGGAGAAGAGTCCAGCACGGCCGCCCACGCCACGCCCACGCCCATATACGCCAACATCATCTGCGACACACACACCTGGCCTCATTAACACGAAGGGGACGCCATCGGTGTCCGTGAAATTGTGTAGTAGTTACATGAAAACACACACTCTCTCTCTCTCTCTCTCTCTCTCTCTCTCTCTCTCTCTCTCTCTCTAATCTTTCAAGTTACTTATCTCTATATTCATACATGTGTGCAGTATCGGCCTGAGTGATAAGTGTTCAGCTTTGTCTTATTTCAATTAATTTAAGCTTATAATAGCTTTCTCAGGCTGTCATTGTTTGTATACCTATGCTGTCATTGTACACTGTATACCTATGCTGTCATTGTACACTGTATACCACCACTTTCTATGTGCACATTGTTTATATAACCTGCGCTTTCTATGTACATTGATCGAATAACTGCAGTCTATAAACATGTTGAACTACTATGAATGTGTATGGCGACTATATTGAGTATCTATCTAGTTATCCACTAATCTATCTATTTATCCACTTATCTATCTATCTAATTCTTTCGTCCGTTTTCTGTCACCTATCGTGTTACACTACAACATTCCTGCTGTCACACGTTATGCAAGTGACTGATATATATTAAGATATCTGTTACACTATCACACAATGTCTGTAAAGAATAACACTTTCTTATAACGACACGCACACAGTTTGTTACAGTCATACAGTTATACCGTCACATAATGTTAGACCGTCACACAGTTACATCTTTAAACAATTTTATATACCTTCGCTCAGTTTATTACATCGTCACACAAGTTACATCGTCACACATGTTACACCGTCACACATGTTTCCCCGTCAAATATGTTACCCCGTCACACATAACACACCGTCACTCATTGTTACATCATCACACACACTGTGACACGGCCACATAATGTTAGATCGTCACACATTGTTACGCCGTCACACACTGTCTGTTACAATGATACAGACCGTCTGCTACACCGTCACACAATGTGTTACACCGTCACACATTGTTACGCCGTCACACACTGTCTGTTACAATGATACAGACCGTCTGTTACACCGTCACACACCGTCTGTTACACCGTCACACACCATCTGTTACACCGTCGCACACTGTCTATTACACCGTCACACACCATCTGTTACACCCTCACACACCATCTGTTACACCCTCACACACCATCTGTTACACCGTCACACACCATCTGTTACACCGTCGCACACTGTCTATTACACCGTCACACACCATCTGTTACACCGTCGCACACTGTCTATTACACCGTCACACACCATCTGTTACCCTCACACCATCTATTTTGCGTCACACACACCATCTATTTCGTCACACACCATCTATTTACCCTCACACTATCTATTTTAATCACACCATCTATTACACCAAATCTACTTTACTGTCTGTTACACCCAAAGTACACGCATCTGTACACCTCCACACACCAAATCTGTTACACCGTCACACACCATCTATTTAAATCACACACAAATCTGTACCCTCACACTGCATCTGTTACCGTCCCTGTCCTGTACTGCGTCACACACTGTCTGGTACCGTCACACACTGTCCTGTGCACCGTCCACACGCTATTACCGTCACACACTATTGCAAATCACACACCGTCTGTTGTTCATCATCACACACCGTCTGTTACACCGTCACACACTGTCTGTTACACCATCACACAGTCTGTTACACAATCACACACTGTTACAGCGTCACACACTGTCTGTTACACCATTACACACACTGTCTGTTACACCGTCACACACTGTTACACCGTCACATTCTGCCTATTTCACCGTCACATAGTCTGTTACACCGTCACATAGTCTGATACATCGTCACACACTGTCTGTTACACTGTCATAAACTGCCTATTACACCGTCACATAGTCTGTTACACCGTCACACACTGTTACACCGTCACATACTGCCTATTACACCGTCACATAGTCAGTTACACCGTCACATAGTCTGATACATCGTCACACACTGTCTGTTACACTGTCATAAACTGCCTATTACACCGTCACATAGTCTGTTACACCGTCACACACTGTTACACCGTCACATACTGCCTATTACACCGTCACATAGTCTGTTACACCGTCACATAGTCTGATACATCGTCACACACTGTTACACCGTCACACAATTCCGCTGCCTCATATTGTTACATCGTCACACACTGGATGAGGGAGGGGGGAGTGGAGAGGAGTAGGGAAAGGAAGGAGGGGAGAATAGGGAGAAGGAAGGAAAGAGGGAGAGGAAAGATGAGATGCTTAGAATGGTAGAGGTAGGGAGGAGGTAAGAAGGAAGGATGGGAGGAGGAGGATGACACAGAGAATGGTAGGGAGGAGGTAAGAAGTATTCACCTGGACCAACATGACTGTGTAGTGCCTCGTGTTGCCACCTGTACCTGTCTTATATACCTGTTGGCCAAGGTGAGGCCCTACCTCCTACCCTCCCCCTCTCTCACTCTCTCTCCCTTTCTTTGTCTCATCCTCCTCCCATCCTTCCTTCCCCCTTTTCTCTGTATCTCACCCCCCCTGCCTTCCTCTCTCTCTCTCTCTCTCTCTCTCTCTCTCTCTGAACTTTCCTCCATCCCCCTTCTTAATCCTGGTAAGTGGTCCTTAAGATTCATGAGATGCAGTGGTCTATTCCAAATGCTACTTTCTACACAGTTGAAACAATAGAATTCATTCTCTCTCTCTCTCTCTCTCTCCTCTTCTCTCTCTCTCTCTCTCTCTCTTCCTCTTTCTCTCTCTCTCACCTACAATAAGCAACCTTCTCTCCCAGCTTCAACTGCAGCTCACCTGTAAATATCTGGCGAATATCCGATGAGGCAACAAGGTAATTCACGACGAGGGTAAATGCAATTTGGCCTGCAAGATGAATAGTTGCAGGTGTTCCTTGAGGAGATAGGTAGATAGATAGATAGATAGATAGATAGATATATAGAATAAAATCGTTATACAAGTTCAGATTGACTCAACAATTACGGGTAGACAATGCAGGTGTACAAACAAGCATTTTTGATGTTCTGTTTAACGGGATCTTATGGACACTAACAACCCCAGTTTACATTTCCTGATGATTAAACACCCTAACGCTAACCTAACTTACCCTAACCTAACTTAATCTTAACCTAATCTAACCCAATTTAGCCCATAGGCAGCGCTTCGGTGTTTAATCCTCAGATGAAACCAGCTGTGACTTGTCTTCATGCGATCCTTTTTATGACTGTATTGTCTTTTAGAGTGCAGGTGTGTGTGTGTGTGTGTGTGTGTGTGTGTGTGTGTGTGTGTGTAGATAGAGAAGGATGCACAGTCACCCTTCACTAATGCGTTTACAGGGGCTCGTCAGGTTTTGTGCAATGTGGCAACCCTGTGTTTGTTTACATTCGACGGAAGGAAACTCACAATACTAAACATACTATGGAATAAAATTAAAACAATATTAAAACAAACATCTCAAAGATAATGAGTTGTGGAGTATTTATATGATGAGCCCCTGTAAACGCACTAGTGAAGGGGACTGTACATGTAAGTCTGAATATATATCGTTTGTCATTGATAAGGTGGCGTAAAGGGGAAGCAAGCAATGGTTGTCGGGACGGGAGAAAGTGTACAATATATAGGATGACCTGGCCCTCCCTGTTGTTTAGGAAGGGCGAGTTTTGGTGGGCACGGGGTGTGGAAAAGGGCACGGGGGCACGGTAGGGGTCACGTTGGATTATGTTTGTATAAGATCAGGTTAAGTCAGGATAAAGTGTGATAACGTTAAGCTCAGGTCAAGAGAGGACAGGTTTGTTTAGCTTGAGGTTAGGTTAGGTTAGTTAGGTTACGTTACATTAGGTGACAATTAGGTCATATTAGGGTAGGTTAGGTAAGTTTAGGGTAGATAACATTATTTTTAGGTTAGGTTAGGTTAGGTTGTTCACAGACAATCACTTACGATTTTATTTTCCCACGTCAAAGCTAAGGCTCATCAAGCCCAGGTAAAGTGTGAGTCATTAGCAGTGATCACCAGGTAACTGATGTTTATTATATTTATCTGGTCATAAATATATACGCACAAAGGAGTGAAATTACTGACCTCGGATTATTAGAGAGAGAGAGAGAGAGAGAGAGAGAGAGAGAGAGAGAGAGAGCGAGAGAGAGAGAGAGAGACTGTATTAACTGGCTCTCCACAGTGGTAAACATAGAATGATGAAAGACTCTTTGTGTGTGTGTGTGCGTGTGTGTGTGTGTGTGTAGTAGTAATAGGCTGTGTAATTATATACAAGTGTAGAGGGACGTGTATGTCGTGGTATGAGCGTCCGTACACAAGGTATAAAGGTAACCTGTATCTTTATACCGTGTCCGTCCGTATAGTCTGGCCTGTATATAGTATGATCGTATGTGTGTGTAGATGAGAGCGGGTGTTCGTGCAGGCGTGTGGGCGTGTATGAGGGAGCGGGGTCAAGAGAAAGGAGAAAAGGGGGTAGGTCATCTTCCCCCATTTCATGTGTGTGGGGGAGTGCCCATCCCACCCTCCCTCCCTCCCTCCCCCCCACACCCTGTGTCGTGTGTGTGGGAAGGGGGGTGGGGGAGCCTATTCCATACCTCCCCACTCCCTGTATCGCATGTAAGTGTAGTAGCATCCTTCCCCTCCCTCCTTCCCCCCAATACACACATATGACACGGCCTCTCCTCTCCTTTCCCCTCCCTCCCCGACGCCCTGTGCCATGCATGCGTGTGTGTGGGGGAGAAGGTGGAGTGGGGGCTCTCTCCCTTCATTCCCTCCCACATGCCCTGTGCCGCGTGTAGTGTAGTAGTATCCCCCCCCACACCGTCGCCATTAAATCTTCGTCAGTACCCAATTTTCACACCATAAACTCCATTAGGAATGGCAGTCGTCTCGCCGTGGTGTGTTAGACGTATATTTTACGACCTGTGGCACAAGCACCTCTGTACTTTACCTCTCATGCATATCGTGACCTGTGGCCTTGAACACGTACTGTCAACACCCATCGCGCACATTTTATTATTTTAACTTAATTGGTGTTTTTTCTAT